TTCTCCGCAATGAACTGCAACTGACAGAGAACTGTCTGAAAGTGAATTACAAGTCTTACTGTGTTTGGCATCAGAGGCAATGGATTATCGGCAATATGACAGATCCTGACCTCAAGAACGAAATATCGCTTTGCAATCAATTGCTTCAATTGGATGAAAGAAACTGTTAGTCAATGCACTCATTGTTTAGTAAATTGAGTGAATATAATGTTAATTGAAATTCTAGTTCACTGTTGGGATTACCGGACATTTGTGTCTAAATTGGCAAAAGCTAGCGAAGAAGAGGGCCTCGAGTTTACGTTACATAAGATTCAGCAGAACTTCTCGAACTTCAGTTCCTGGTATCACCGGAGCTGTCTGTTCAGGTCAGCCGTGGCCAGTGATGACGGCTATGACTTTAGCCAACAGTGGAAAAAGGAGTACGATTTGGTAGAGAACGCCATATTCACGGACCCGACCGACCAGTCCGCCTGGTTTTACCACAAATGGCTCGTTTCCACCAATTATGGACACAATATTCTTAATGCAAAACAATTGGGTTACGAAAATGTGGTCAAAATTAATAGAGTTGTTTTCAATACAACTCACGCTTTACTTGTTGTCAGTCTTTCCCGTCCTCTCAAACACAAGCCTTTGATATCTGTTGTGATAAACAATCAAATGGTGACTAATTCTGACTGGAATTCTCCTAATGATGTCGACTCTAATGTTTGGTTCATTCATTTGGATACCATTCCGATCACTCAATTCAATGGACTCACTATTAGTCCGATTCCTACGTTTGCCGTAAACTCAGAATCCGTTGAATTGCTTGATATAAAAGTCGATGACATGAATAATACAACTGAAAAAGTGTTTGTTTGGGAGCGAAAGTCACACAATTTGGACCAACAGTTGACTTTAGAGGAGAGTTATCTGAAAACGTTACGCGAATTACAGAAATTAGAGCCAAACAATAAGTGTTAGTTTGAGATATGATTAATCGTAAGAGTTTTAAACTAATTGACGAAATATTGTTTCAGGGGTTAACCTAACTCTGGCCTGGACTGAGCCCAATAGAGTGCACGTAAACTCTATATTTGATCAGCTCATCAAATTGGATCCCTTGAGAACCAACTATTATAAAGACTTA